CCCCAAAACCCCAAAACCCCAAAACCCCAAAACCCCATAAAAGCTGGAAAAGCTTGATAGTAATAAATAGCCAAATTTTACAATTTAATGACAGAACTTAACAAATACATTGAGCTTAACAATGGAAACAAGATGCCTCTCATAGGATATGGGACCTTCTCCGGAGAGGAAGAGAAGGAGCTACATGACTGTATTGTACATGCTATTGTAGACTTAGGTTACAGACATCTTGATACAGCTAAAGTATATCTCAACGAAGAAGTTATTGGAGGAGCTCTACAAGAATGCTTTGAGAAAGGCATCAAGAGAGAAGACCTCTTCATCACTAGCAAAGTATGGAAGGATGACTATCATGATGTCGAGTCTGCTATTAAGGAGAGCCTCAGAAAGCTGCAGCTAGAGTATCTAGATTTGTACCTTGTCCATTGGATGGTCACAGATATTGATTGGAAAAATCTTGATATTAAAGGACCAACCATGCAAGAGACTTGGAAGCAGATGGAAAGAATCTACGAGAATGGACTTTCTAAGAACATTGGTATCTCTAACTGCCCAGCAATGATGTATTTGGATCTTCTTGCAGGAGCAAAAATTAAACCACAAGTAAACCAAATTGAAACAAATCCTCACTTACAACAAAAAGCTTTAATTGAGTTCACAAGAAAATTCGGAACAGAGACAACAGCTTATGCTCCAATTGGAGCTCAAAAATTCACAGGAGATGGTAGTCTTTTTGATAACGAAGACTTGAAGGCCATTGCAGATAAGCATGGTGTAACCGTTCCCCAAATATGTCTTGCTTGGAATATTAATAGAGGAGTTGTAGTGATTCCAAAATCTACAAATAAAGATCGTATGAAAGCTAACTTTGAAGCACTTTCCATTACTCTTGGTGAGGATGAAATGGCCACTATTGCCAAACTTGACAAGAACGAAAGATTCTTCGATCCTGCTAAATGGGAAAATGAGACTGGGGAGGAAGATTGGGATAATTCTCCGATTTGGGCTTAGATATCAGCTCTGACCAATTTTTACAATTTATCCAATAAATACAAATATGGTTCAGTTACTCTTACCAAAATTGGGGTTTTGGGGTTTTGGGGTTTTGGGGTTTTGGGG